AAGAGGGTCCTCTTCTCTTGGTGCTTAATATGATTCCATTTCACAGACACCATGTAGAATCACAATCTACAATGGCCCTTGTTATCTGTTGGACTATTTCATAATAGAGGGTGAAGGTACTTCTCAAAAACACTTGCCAATATTTGGTTAATAGACAAGATAAAGTTAATTTTATTAATGTTTCCATTAATATTATTGGTAAAGTTTAAAATATTTCCCACATTTATCAAGCATTAAAAAGAAAATGAAAATATTCTCCATCTATCTTGTTAGTCAAATATAGATTATCTTATGGCATGCTTTTCAGGTTTACTTTCATCCTCTTTCTCTCTCTCATGTCCATTTATTCCTGACCCTTATGTCCACTTTATTACTAGATCTTTATTTAGGCTCATTAGTTTTAACTTGATTCACAATTTGGGTTAGTTTGCTAATGGCACTGTCTTTAGCAATACAGAGTAAACCATATATTCCAAAAATTACTTTAAAAATTTTATAATCCATTTGATGCTTAACTGTCATTCAGGCTTTTAAAATGTTCATAAGGTATAAAAGTACATTCAGTTGGGCATAGTGCCAGTATTTACTACTTACTTCTCTTGAATTCATAACTTTTTCTTTATAAATTTGATTATCTTCTTTAAGCTAAAAGGTACTTCAAAATAGTTTCATCAAGAGCAAGTGATTTTGCTCAGAATAAATTCTATATTAAATAACGCATGGAAATAATAAATCTTATTTCTGATATGAAGATTTTTATTTGGAAAAACATTGCAAATATAATTCAGCAGAATTAATTAACTAATGATTTATTTATAAAAATACTATTGAATAAATGGAGCCTTTTTAAACTGAATCTCCAGAAATATTAAAACTGTACTTTTATCACAATAAATGGATAAATATCAGTAGATATATTAACTTTAAAATGTAATGATGAAATCTATAAGTATTATAAAGCTAGTAAAACAAATCAGTTTTGCATTGATTTTCCTTAGGTTTTATTTATAAACTGGATAATTTCTGTGCTGATCTTGATAAAGTATTTCTGTATCAGTCGGTATTTAGTGACTGAGATAAGATTCTTTTGTCTGATAGCATATTTGTACCTGATAGACCTAAAAGGACTTCAACTTGTTCAAGACTGAATAGCTTTATTTCAAGTTATTCTTTCACATTGCATTTTATCATAAATTCTCACTTTAGACAATATCTAAAATAGAATTCTTTTCTATGATTCCTCTGCTTAACTAATATATATATATATATATATATATATATATATATATATATAAGCGAACATAGAAGTCAACAAGTCTAAGTGTTGACTTCTCTGTTCACTTTTATATTTACACAGGCTCTATCTCTGATATTGATAACTTTATCCCATAAATATAGCACATCTTAAGACTATATTTCTTTATATATATATGGCTGAAAATATTTGAAAATATTAAGATTTTTCAGATTTTAATTCCCTTTTAATGCCTACGACCAAGTGATTTGTATAGACTGACTACTATTGTTTTCATAAATTGATAGGTTATGATTTGTAAATTGGGAGAAATCCATAATCATTCTGGTTATAAGGAAATTAGTTAGACGGAAAATGATTTTAAAGAGTTAAAGCTTGTCATTTAATATTGCAATCCCTAATTAATCTGCCAATCAAAAATGCTTTAATCATAAAAACAATTTTATTTATATTTTTATCTTCTATAAGCTGTTGTACTGGAAATGTGTCTAAAATCATTTTTACAGCATTTTTTCAAATATAATTGAAGGTATGTGTTGCCTATGACCAAAAACATGTTTTGGTTCAGTTTTAATTATTGTTGTATTTCACTTGCAAATTTGTGTAAACTCTGGTTCTGTTGAGTTTTCAATAACTGTAAAAACTGACAATTACTGACATTGATATGTAGGAAATTCTAAATTGATTTATATTTTTTTTCAGATTTTTTTTTTTTTTTTTTTTTTTTTTTTTTGAATTAGCAAAATGAAATGTTATGTGAAGATTTATACAAATGCCTTTATCTGTGTCCACCAGTAAGTTGGTATTCAAGCATGTGATATCATGCCCCCCAAAAAGTATGGTGGGAAATTTACATAGGGTTTGGCCTAGGATCAAAATGTGTGTGTGTTCTGTTTCAGATCAGTGTAGTATCTGTGAAAAGTATTACACACACACACACTCACTCATGTGTGGCTTTATTAATCAAATGAATAAAACTAGAGAAAAAAAAAAAGAATGTTTCAAAATATATCAACTTAAGAAATTGTATTTGATGCTTCATATTTTATTTTGGTTTTATTGGTTGATTTACCTTTAAAAATACAAATTTTATAAATCGGGTGCTGTTCCAGGATTTTATAAATCTGGTGCTGTTCCGGGATATAATTTAGTTTATGTAACTTTATAAAACAATTTCATGAATTCAAATGCGTTTTTAAGAGCCTGTTGATAGTGTCAAGATTTCTAGAACAACATTAATATCTTCACATTGAAAACTTGAATTATGGTTTATACTGTATATTAGTATTTCTTCCTAGATTCAGCTGAGCTTAATCTTTAGTCTTGTTTTTGGTGCCTGGTAATTTTCCTTTGAACTAAGTGTCAGCTTTGATAGAATTGCTATGAGCTATTTTATTATTTTGGTTTCTGTTAATAAAAATGTACCTGTCTTTCAGATTTGGATTATATTCTGCGTTGTCTTATTAATGTCTTTGACAGCAATTATTCATTCATTGTTGATGCAATCATCATACAAATTCCTCATTTTTTTTTTTCTCTTTGACAATTTTATATTGTGCTTTGTTGAGGTACTGTTTCACAGTTTTTTTTTCTTTTTTTTTAAAAATCTGCTACTTCAATAGAAGACAAAAAAAATTCATTTGAGAAACTTGTAAGTAAGCAATTTAAAAAATGTGATTGATTTGTCAGTATTTTAAATTCATATCTTCTTGAGATTAGCTTTGGAATATTTAGCAAAACTGCCATGCTTTATTAAATAAATATAAGCTGCAAGTATAGTTTATTTTGAAAATATTTTTTATTTTCAAATTCTGATATAGTTGTTTTCTTCAGATTTAATGGGATCTGGAACTTTGATAGTCATCAAAATTTGTGCATATATTTTTTTTCTATATAGTCTATGGATCAAAGTGGTCAAGATAACCTGTATGATTGTCTTTACTAACACTGACCACATTGTTGATGGGACAGCCAAAAAAATGTTCTTTATAACAATATCAATCTTTTATAACATGTACAAAGATATATTTATGCAGGTTTTAACTATTTTTAGTTATGTTATCTTTGCAAACCAAAGATTCTTTGCTCATTTTTCATTTACTGTATGCATAGAGAGCACATCTCATTCTGAGCACTTTCATTCATTCTAGTTTTTTTTTTCTGATTTACAACTGATTTCCTTTTTTCTCTATTTTGTCCTTTTCTCATTAGAAAGGCAGTCATTCATCTCTTATCACAATTACTTGTCCATCATTGCAATGTAGATGTATGTATATATACCACCTAATAGCAAGAGAATCCTTTGTTAAATCAGATTAGCTCATTTCTAATCCAAAAGTCATTATGCATGTTGTATCATATTTTAAACTTGTGTTGCCTGAGCTTCTTCAGTCTGTTGCCTTCCTGGTGTTGTCCTTGTTGTGCTTAAGTTCTCTCTGGAACTCTGAACTGACCAGCTTATTTTGGGGCATAACAGGTTTACATCTTTGAAAAAAAAATCCTAATGCAGCAGTCAACAAAATGATGCCTTATAAAAACACACACACACACACTCACACACCAAATAACTATGGTCAATGTTAAAATAGTATAACATTTAATAGAGTACACCTTTAAAAATATTTGCATAAAAACTTTAAGAATATGTAAAATTCTAATTATCTTAGCATGGTTCACTCTCTCACACAAGAATTTATTTTAAGGAACTAATGTTTGATATCCTTTCAATAAATCTTATGGAAAGTATGAACTGTGCACAAAAATAAGTTAAGTCTATTCTGCTGTTACTACTACCATTATATTATATTAATGGAATGAATCATTTGTGTCAGTGAAAATGAATTTTCAAATAGTTTAATGTACATATTTCAAGAAACCCTTATTGTATTAGGCTTAGCAAGAGCAGTGTATTGATTATAAGCTCAATATAGTATATATCTGAGGGGTTACTGAAAAGTTCCTGGCTTGGCCCACATCTCAAAATCAGAATTTTGGGAGAGAGGAGAATACTTTCTTGATAGGACCAAAACTTTTCTGCACCTCCTCATATATGAAATTAGTTCATAGTTACATTCTGTTAAGTTTTTTTTTATTACCATGTTAAATTACATTAGTTTAAAGCCTATCATTTATTGAAAGAAAATTCTATAGAGTCAGCATTTTTAGTTTATTGCAATTATGAATAAAAAAGTGGTTAGAATCTTGAAATTAAAAAAAAAAAAGGATACAAGTCAATAGGGAAGTAACTAATTCCATCATTTAATGACTACTTTCTGAAAATACTTCTGTGCATTGATTAAATCCAAGCATAGTTATGAAAATAATTTGAAGCATTATTTAAGGAGTTTCTTGGATTGACTTCATTTTTACATTGAATTTATTTCAATAAAAATGTCTCAATTTCTTTTGTTAAATTCCTGCTTAAATTCAATTAATACATTTTTAAAAATAGAAAAATTCAAATACAATAAGAGTTTATATTTAAAATGTAGTGAGAGATTGATTTTAAAGTACAATTATGAAAAAATGTTTTAGCCAAATACTTTTGCAAGGTTTAATTTTGAACTTTTACTTATCTTTTTGTCCATATTTTTTCCCTGTAAATTGAGCTTAGGTAAAAAACTGATCTTACAAACCATTTTGATCTCCAAAACTAAGTGCATGATAGAATTGTTAAACGAATGCCACCAAGACCTCTTACTTTTTGAAACATACTACCAAGACATCTACTTATTTGGATTTTCAGATCTGTCTGCTGGTTATTGTAACACTGTACAACAAGTAGTGTGTGGTGACCAGCACGATGCCTCTTCAGTGGCGGTCAGTCCATCATCCAAACAACCACAGCGAATGTCATACGGCGTTGAGCCATCATCGCTTAATGATTTGTCTGCTGCAATCCCAACTGACCATTCCTCACCCATGTCTCCCAAATCGGCCCTCCCATCAGTCAGCGCCTCCCTGCACGGCCGCCCTAGACCTGTGCCAACCAAGAAAACTGCCCCAGGTACGCGTTCACATCTAACCAATACCCCTCTATATAGTCTCGAGAGTATTGTAAGAGGTAACATCATAAAGTGATGATGTCCCACCCCAACAGAAGTTTCTTACTCTTGTCAATCTCCCTATCTGTTTCGTCAATCTCTGACTCATGCCCTCTTTTGCTTTACTGTCTCTAACCCACACTCTCTCTGTTTCTCTCTCTCTCTCTCTGACCCACCCATCCCTCTCTCTGCCAGCAAGATTTTTCATGGGCCAACACTGCTCCATATATGAACGCGTAGCTTGGAGCTGTTGTTTTTGCTGCATGTTTTTTTTTTTTTTCTTTCTTTCCCAATTTATTTTCATTTGTATTGGTTAGTTGGGCTTTGTTTTGCTTGTTTTCTTATTTGAACATCACTGCAGCCATCCTGTGTGTGTGTGTGTGTGTCTATATGTATGTGTGTCTATGTGTACATATGTGAGTGTAAATATGTTACAGTGGGTATTACAGCCATATTGATTTTTAGTCACCTCTCATCCATACAAACACAAATGTCTCTCGATCTCCATGTTTTATACTATGAATTTATGCCATGTAACAGCTAATGTGTTTCTTTGACTGCTTTTTATTGCAATTTTATTTCTTTTTCATGCTTTTATCCTATTTTAAGCTTATTTGCATTTTTACAGGACAAAAATCATTCTGTTAATGTTGAGCCTATTGTGAATACATAAAAATATTTTGATAAAGTTATAAAACTTTTAGTTCTGCTGCAATTAAAATACTGGAGAATGAACTGATTCACATCCCCACCCCCATTTCCCACCCCCGACTATTAAGCAACTGAAAACAAAACAAAATGTAACTACTTTGTTTATTTTTCTAAATTAATGTACTCTATTAATTTACCATATATTAATGTATTATATTAAATATTTATATTTAATCTCTAATCAATTTGGTCGGTTTTCTGGATATTTTGTGATTTCCCAAAAATTTTATGCTCCCACTTGTCATAAAAAAATATAGAAAGAATATTTTTGTTATCACTTTACATATAAAGATGATGAGACAAGGTAGAAAAAGCTTATAAATGCATTTCATTGGTGTGTATTGTTTTTTTTTTTTTTTTTTTCAGGTTTGAGTGAAAGGAAAAAGTGTTGGCATATATTAGGATAAGAGAGGCAATAAATTAAATTACCTTATTAGATACAACAACCAGAAAGTGTTTGTGTCTCTCTCATATATATATATATATATATATATATATATATATATATATAAAATTTATTTATTAACATGCACACACTGTTAGTGTTAATCTCTGTATTTTTTTTTTTAATTTAATTTGTCCATCCTTCAGCTTGAAATTTACTGTATTATTGAATAGCTTATAAAGTGTTATAAAATTATCTTTTATGGCTATAATAGAAAATACACGAAATAGATTTTCCTTTTCCAAATAGCTAAATGAGTATATAGCACATGATTTAAAATATATAAAGTAGTGCTAAACTTTGCTTTAAAATTATGACTATATCTAAATTATTTTAAACTTCTCTGTAGCTTTACTTGTTATCTGAAGACTTGCATGTTGTTTTTTTTTATTTAAGCTTTTTATTCAGTTATTAATATGAAGGCTTCTCTTTTATTGTTCTGTTTAGAGATTAATCTCTATATATTAATAAGACCCTATTGATTAAAACCCAATATTTTTGTTGATCATATCAAAGTACATCAGTTTGATGCTAATTTATTCCATTGCATTGTTTCATTTATTATTTTCTGGTGAATTTTACTTTAAAAAGTTAATTACATTTTCATTACACATTTAAATTTACCAGAATATCCCATTTTTACTTTCAAAGCATAAACTCCCCAAAATATAGCTTTTACATTTGGATAGTTGTTAATTTCTCCTAATCTACACTTTAGTGATTAGCTCTTCACAAAAACAAATTTATACTTATTTGAAATATTCACAATCAGTAGCTAAAATAATTACTCAGTGTGTTTGCTTTTTGAACTGGTGAGATTATTAATGACTGAATTCAGCATAAAGTCGTACATGTCTGATAATGAATTTTATAATTAATGATACATTACAGAATCAATTTTTGTATTGATAGTTGATTAATTTTAGTGTTTTTTTTTTTTTTTTGTCTTCCTCTATAAGTGATTTTTTTTATTGCTTATTTTGATTTCTTGATAGAAATGACATTTTTCACAAATTCACTTTATCTAAGCAATTAAATACATTTAGTTCCATCCATTTAATCTTTTCTTTTGTCTAGCAATCTCATATCTGCTGACTCTTTTACTTTCCATATCATTTTACCCAATTATTCTTCCTTACCAGATTATGATGGAAATGAATCCATGACCATTTATTTTAATGCCTTTTTGAAATATAAAAATACCAACCCAGATTTTTAGGTATGATTACATTCTTACTTGGAAGTTTCTCAAACATAAATAGCAAGTTTTCAGAAGCATTTAAAAGTTTGAATGCATTCAGCTGATCAGTATATTTGCCACATTTTTCATTTTTCTTTATGGTTTGTACACATTAAAAAAAGTTGTAGAATGGATTGATTGAAATGTAACAACAAAACGAAAAAAAAAAGAGGAGTTCAGTTCAAGCTGTTCATGCATAATAAGAAAAAAAGCTGTCTTCCCCATCAATACTGGAAAGAGCAATAATTAGATACCTCCATGAGATCGCTAAAAAAAAAGCATAGCATGATGAAAAAGGCGCCAAACTTGACAAAAACAATTTTATCGCCTAAATGTTTGTTATTATTAAGAGAAAAGATCAAAGTTTATTTTATTTTTAAAAATTTTTCCTTCTTTTTAGAACATTCTAAATTTTGATTTAAAAAACCTTGTTTCTCTTTGTATCCCCGGAACTAGTAAAATAGCATATACAATTTTTAACACTTATTTTTTTTTTTTTTTTTTTTTTTTTGTATGACACAATAATTTGGAAAATCTTGCAAAAATAAAAATAATTGTTGGATGTTAATGAAACTTTCAGAAACTATTCACAGATGATGGAAATTATTATAAATATGGTTTGTTTTTTTTTATTAAAGTCATGGCAGAAATTTTTTATTTTTTTTTTTAATTTATTACCCCCCAACTAATTTTATGAAAACGCTAGAAATTGATCGCGTCAGGTTTAGTGATTACAATAGTTAAAAGCACAAGGCTTTGAGGAATGCAAATCATCATTTTTTTTTGTTTTTAATTGGATCCCCCCACCTGAAAATCAGCTCTGAATTGTAATGTACAAAACTCAAAACAAATATATTATTTAATTTCAAATGCTTTTATTTGCTTTTATGAATATGGACAATATTTTCTGAAAGCAAAAAAAAATTTTCAATGAAAAAAGAATTTTTAGTACAATTATTTATTATTTCTTTAATTATAATAGATTTTTACATTTAAGTTGTTAAAATATTATAAAATTAGTTAAAAGCCACATCGGGTTTCCTAAGTGTCCTTATGAGATAGATCTTTTTTTAGCGCGTTGTAAATTGTATGATTTTGACTAATCAGAAGATCCGCAATAATTAAAAAATGTAATTTTGTGTTTATAATTGGGCTGTAATTATAAAGTATAGAAGATCAACCAGAATACAATTAAGTTGCTTTATTTGACTTAAGCATTGTTCTCCGCTGTTAGGGCCTTTACTTTTGCAAAACGTGTGGAGAAGTTAATTTGATTTTTCAATTTCAACTGAGAAGGGTACCTACAAGTATCAGTATCATCTTATGAAATTTATATGATCTTCTTTTTATATTAATCTCAGTTATGACATTTTTCCATAAATGAAATATCAAAATTAATAATAAAATGAATGGAAATACAAATAACACAGTAAAATGTAATAAATGTACATAAAATTATAGTATTTTATGTACACTTCTGATAAAATTTCATGCCTATAAATTAATTAGATACCTTTCTGATGAAATATGAAATTTAATCTCACTCTTAAGTCTTATTTTAATTTCTTTATAATATATTTTCCATAAAGCATCGTAAATGTAAAGGTGAAAGCTAAGTACAAAAACAAATTAGAGCACTGAAAGTTTTCCTTAAAAATAACGAGGTAAATAATTCGTTCACTTAAATGTAAATAATTTCATTTTTCTCCTTCCGTAGAACAAATTATCCTCACGGAATCTGTCAATATGTCATTCATCACCTGTCAAGTGACACGAAAGTTTATGACCAGCTTTGTTTTATTTTCAAATTACATCTTTTCGGCACTGAAGCTAAGTTAAGCTTGGTTCAAAATATTTTAAATAAACATTATAATTTCTGATTTTCTTAAAATGAGTTTTGAAAAAATGATAATTGAAATTTGATCTTTCCTCTTATTAATAACATAAACATTTCGACGATGAAATTTTGTTTTCGTCAAGTTTGGCATCTTTTTCATCATGCTTTGCTCTTTTTTTTTAGCGATCTTGTGGAGGTACCTAAGCAATAATAGCTAGTGGACTTTATAAACTGATTTTCCTGAAAAATTGTTTTAAGGGACAGATTTTTTAAAATTTCAATCAAAAGTAGCACTGGCTTCTCAGTCAGTGAATGTCAAATGTTTCCTTATAAGGAAATATCTTTACCATAAAGACAAGAATACTAGATTGAAAATAATCTTTATACAAAGCAGATAATTATCTTGCTTTTGTTTAGTTTAAGTATGAGAGGAAGCTTAACTTTTTTTTTTTTTTTTTTTGACCTTACTCATTTCCTAAAATCTAACCAAATGACAAAACATTAGGGTGTTTTTAATCTCTTAGAATGAAAATTTTTCAGCACTCCCCCTCTCTCCTTAGATCCTAATTTCAATTTTTAGTAAAGGTAAATATTAACTATTTTTACATTGATTCTTAGGGACAAGCTTCAGCATCTTTCACTGAAACATAATAACAATAAAGATGAAATTTAAATACAAAGTTTTGACCCCCCCCCCAAAAAAAAACAGATGAATATTTTTGTTTCTCCATTGTTAAAAATTGCAGCAGGATAATTTATAAAGATTTATTTTCAGTGTTTATAGAAAACTTTAAAAAAAAAAAAAAAAAAAAAAAAAATAATTTCCTCCCTTAGTAGGAGAAAAAAAAATTCCTTTCTTCCTCAAATTTAGTAATGGAGAAAAAAATAATTTTTTCTACATTTTTGTCAAAGAAAAAAAAACCTTTTAAAATAATAATTGTGTTGAATTTGAACTCTTATTCAGGAAAAACTTAAATTTGATTGCTGAATAACTTTCACAGAATTATCTTATTGTTTTGTTTGGTCCAGGGTAATTTTGGAATTTCAGAGAAAATGCTAACCAAAAACGAGTGTGCATTTATTAGTTGTCAATAGTATACATTCAAAAATCAATCTGAAAAACACTGAAAACTTAAATTTTGCTCATTTTAACAAAATACTTATGTCTTGTTTAATTGTTGGGTATATTTTATTTTTTTTATTACTACAAACTTTAATATTTTTTATTATACTTGAATGACAGAAGATGATTAAGAAGACTTTTAAATCGGATTTTATCCTGATATTTGTCTTTATTAAAAGAAATAGAAGAATAAAAAAAGGAGAAATCATTTTCAATCTTCAAAACATCTTACAAATGTTCACAAAAATTAAAATTCTTCTTTATGACTTGTCATGGCAATATAATAACTAACTTTGCATGAAGATAAATATGTTGTGATCAACAAAATTGATTTAACGCATGCTATGTAAATTGTGTGTCAGTGTCTGCTTAAAGTATTTATCATCAGCACTTGATCATTTGATAACAAGTTCGATTATGGCCTCCATACTTGCTTCTAAAATTTTCTATACAATTTAAAAGATTTTTATCTTCTCTTTTATATGAAATTTAAAAAAAAAATGTGAATGAATGGTGAATGGATGTCTGATTGTTTGAGGCTGTGTTTGTTACTTGAGCTGGCTAAATGTGCCCTGTTTCCCCCAGTTGCTGGACCTGGGCACCTGCAGCCCCCTCCAGCCCCTGTCACAGGTGGTGGGGAAGTGATGACCAACAGTAGTGGCCCTGAAAAGGGGCCAACAGGGACCATGGCTACTGTCAACACAACAGCTGCTCCGACCACAGTCCAGCCAACGGCAACCCCTGACACTCCAGCCACTGCGGGAGCACAAATTGGACCCCCCAGACTTCCCCCACGACCCATCCACCAGTCACATGGACGAAGTGTTTCTGTCGACCTTAAGCTCAAAAGTGATGTGGGTAGGTCAAAATTTTGAAAATCATCCACACCTGATTTACTAATCTTGTTAGTTTTACAGTTTCATTAATAACCATTAACTACTAGTTCCTCTATAACACTATATGCATTAGTGAAGAACTATTAATGCTACTGTAACACTAGTACACATTAGTGAAGGAGTATTAATTCTCCTGTAACACTTGTGCGCATTTCTGAAAAATCATTAATTTCTCTGTAATAATTGTATGCATTAGCGAAGAATGATTAATTCTCCTGTAACACTCTATGTATTAGTGAGGAACTATTACTTCCTCTGTAACACTTGTACGCATTATTGAAGAACTATTACTTCCCCTGTAACACTCATACACATTCGTAAAGAACAATTGATTGCCCTGTAACACTCTATACATTAGTGAAGAATGATTCATTCCCCTGTAACACTTAGTGAAGGACTGCTATTTTCCCCATAACCCTTGTACACATTAGTGTAGAACAATTAATCCTTCTGTAACACTCATATGCATTAGTGTAGAACAATTAATCCTTCTGTAACACTCATATGCATTAGTGTAGAACAATTAATCCTTCTGTAACACTCATATGCATTAGTGTAGAACAATTAATCCTTTTGTAACACTCATATGCATTAGTGTAGAACAATTAATCCTTCTGTAACACTCATATGCATTAGTGTAGAACAATTAATCCTTCTGTAACACTCATATGCATTAGTGTAGAACAATTAATCCTTCTGTAACACTCATATGCATTAGTGTAGAACAATTAATCCTTCTGTAACACTCATATGCATTAGTGTAGAACAATTAATCCTTCTGTAACACTCATATGCATTAGTGTAGAACAATTAATCCTTCTGTAACACTCAGTTAAGATATTGAATTGCCACTAACAAGTATAACCAATACAGCTATTATATCCTATCAATGAATTTGTTTATCTCAAAAATTTAAACTTTTTTAGCATGTCTAGTTCTTAAAAGTAATGTCTAATTATGCATTTGTCTATTTTCTGAATGAATCTTATTAAAATCACAAATTTTATATAATGTGGTACTTGCTTGAAATCTTTTTTTATTTTATAAATATGATTCTCTTGTCAATTGAACCGACTGATTAATATCTGGTCTGTCTTAACAAAAAATGATCTAATTCGGTTGGTTTGTGACAAAACACACACAAATGCAGATATAAATTTAGACTTTATACAGATATTAAAATATCTTCAATCTATTGTATTCAAACTTATTCATGGCCATCTGTATTTAGGACTAATGTTTCACTGGCACTTCTTTTTGCGTGTGTGTCTGTCTTTTCCTCACAAATTATATTTGTTCTGTCAGTCCATAACATTTATTTTAAACAAACGTTAAGCTTACTGATAAGGCATTTTTATTTTCAAACTTGTTCCCAGGTAGAAAAGTTTAATCAAATGATTAAATATTGATAAAACATTGATTAAAACATTTCCTTGCCTTGGCCATCATTTTGCCTGTAGCAGAAAAAATTGTATTTAATCTTTACTCTCAGTTGTAAAAATTTTATTTACCAAGACCCAAGAAAGGCATAATTTCCAAAAGTTCCCCTCTGAAATATGTCATTTATTTAAAACAACATAAAAAAAATTCTTTATTATTTCTAGGTATATGTGTGCGTGTGTGGAGGGGGTAAATGTTGGCAAAGAATAAGGTGTGGCTAATGCTTACAATGCTGTTCATCTAATGCCCAGTGTCAGATTATTAAGTTCAACCATTATACAGGAACCAACCACTGAAAATTAAAAACAGTCATTCTTTTTAATATCTATTTTAGGATTGTAATATTGTCTATGATGGTAAAATTGTTTTAAATTAAAGAAACTCAAGATAAATCTATGGAAAGTATTTATACTTTAGTCTGTAGTCATCAAAACATGTATTAGTTTAAGTCAAAGAGCTCATTTATAAATTCAGTGTTTGTATTTGTATAACTTCATGACTAGCAATGATTAACATTAATTTAACTTTTGACTTCTCTATTGTTATTGACATTTCAAATAAACACAGTTGTTTTAGTGTTATTTGTCTCGCCTGTTATTGGCTTATATTAATCTTCACACAGAAATGGAATTAAAAGGAGGAGTCATTTCTACTTTTTCAACCTTGCATTCAAATATGATCCTCTATTCAAATTACAAATATTGGTTATTTTTTGAATTTTGAAGAAAAACAAAAACATTATTCATTAGAGTGATTTGCATTTTGTAGTTGCTTACCAGCAACCATATCACTCTTATTAGACATTTTCTTATTAGACATTTTCTTATTAGACATTTTCTTATTAGACATTTTCTTATTAGACATTTTCTTATTAGACATTTTCTTATTAGACATTTTCTTATTAGACATTTTCTTATTAGACATTTTCTTATTAGACATTTTCTTGGTTATCTTAAGAAGACCAGACATTATTTCTAGTTGTTTTTGTTTTTTTTTATTAAACACCTAGTCTCCAACAACATTGAATTGGAGTTTATAGGGCTGTGATATGATTCTTGACACAAGAGCAGTCAGGCTTTCATTAATAATTTTCTAGTAGGATTCTTTTTGTTTTGTATAGCATCAATAAAAAGTAATTTCAAGTAGTAAGATACTTTCAAAAGACAATTGTCACATCTATTGAAGATACCTTAATTATTATTTAATTTAATTCATGAAACTATTATCTGATGATTGGTAATTAGCAATCATGACATTGGTTTTTATTGAGTTTATTTCGGTTTGATTTAAATTTAGTTTTATTTGGGTAAAGTTACAATTTTTTCTTCCCTTTTCATTTTTGAGTAGTAAATTTTTCAATTGCCTTTTATTCTTATAAATTCCCCAACCCTATATCCCTCCCCGACAGCCTCAACATCAAAACCAATCTGCAACGTAAGGAGGTAGAATAATAACTGAGGTCAAATCTAACAGCATTTTTAATTCCCCTCGTTTGCAGCCATATTTTAGCACTTTTTTTTAATGTTGCACGTTTTAAAGCTGTAAACTGTTGTTGTTTGTTCACTGCTGCATGAAATCAAGCTACTTATTGGTCTACTATTTGCTTTTAATTTTTTACCACATCTTTTATGATTTCACTACTGCTGTAAATCCACATTATGTTCTTTTGATATGCAGTATGGCTTAAATTTATTTACCTTGTCCTATCTTCATAATTTGCTGTAGTAGTATCCTTTCTAATTATACTATCTTAACTCAGTCATGTTCTATAGTTTATCAGTCACTAGTTTATTATCTTGACTGATGATGTATTGCCTTTTTTTCTTTATAGGCGCCTCAGTATTGTTACCACCTCCAGCAGTGCCCCCTCGGATATCTCCCAAAGATGTATGTACTTTCTTCAATTATTCCCTCATCACATTTCATGACTTGCAGATCTGCCATGGTTTTAGTTATATTTTTCATTTATTTTGATGCAACAATCCTTTTAATGCGGTTTCATTTTATGAATTACACCAGTGAAACACACCAAGAGTGTCTAACAAGTTGTTTTTTTTTTATTATAGATTAATGTACCAATGCAGTTTTGTTTTTTAAAGCCTCAGGAGAATTTTGATGATTTATATCATTGATCTGCTGTCTTTTGCCTAAATATTATTCTAACATAATTATATCTAGCATCTTTTTTGACAGCAAGCAGTTTATCTTATCAGTTATTACCTTATTATTATTTGTGTTCTGTTTGGACATCTTATTTCCTTTTCTAAGTATTTACAGCTATAATAGTTTTTGTTCTTTTTTTAAATTGATTATAATTACTTTTTTGTAACTAAAAATGTAATCAAAATTCAAAGTAATTAATTCTCCACTCCTTAATGTCCCTTCTGCTCTTAAAATCATGTTAACAGAACAACTGGATTTTATACAAATTTTTTTATACTTTCGACTATCAATTCTTTTTTGTATGGATTACTCATATTTGATATTTCTTTTTGATTTCCTTGTTTTACTTGGTCAATGTTTCTCTATTTCCTATTGCCGATAGCTTTGTCTTATAAGCTTCTTTGCTTTAACTTTATGTATTGTATCACTGATAGAACTTAGTTTGTATCAATTGGATGAAGTTAGGAATATATCATTGTTTTTATTGATGAGAAGCTGTCAAAGAAATATCAGCAAAAACCCTATCTTATTTGGGAAACATTACTTGCAGTTTTTATTTATTTAACAGCTGCGAAGTACTGGGCATTCTAAAATAACTAAATTCTATACTTATTTCAGATTACCACATAAGAATTAATGTTATGCTTGCAAGCATTCAGTTTATATTTATTAATATTCTGGCTTCATTGTTTATAACTTAGTTCATAAAAATCTTATTTTTTTTTCAATATATGACAAATCGTCATTACTAAAACATACAAAAATTGTTTATTGCAAGTGGTTTCATTATTATGAAATATGTGATGTGATCCTATCTCCCACACACTTATTATTTGCAATCTTACATATTTTTCTCTTATTCTTGAAGATCAAGTTCAATTTGATGATGAATTTCCTGCAGTTTTCTGCATATTTTTAGTGGAAATTAATGCAGATTTTAGTGTTATTTAGAACAATAATGTTTGGAGCCATGTTCTATCATTGTTGGAAAGATTCATTATTCAAAAAAACTGGACAAAATTAATGAAAAAAGGTTAAAAAGGAAAATATATCTTGTTTTATTTATATCTTTCTATATTTAAAATGTTAGCTAGATAATTAGGATACTTACTGTATTTTTCAATATATAAGATACCACCCCCACTTTCAAAATTTTCCTGTATTTTTATATGCCAAAGGTCACTAATATTGGATATCTCGTGTCTTATGCAGTCACCTTTGAGACTTGGTTTTTTTTTTGTTGTTGTTTTTCTTGTATGCCAAAAAAATGACAGGCATTTATTATTTGATCTTAGGATGAGGTTTTGTATATTGGTATTGAAGAATAACACATTTGATGCTTTTGGTTCAACTTTGTGTTGTCAGTTTAATTTGAAATTTATTGTTTAGTTCAATATGGAAATCAGAATTATTTGCAGTTTAAAAACAGCAGGAAATTAGTAAAATAACAAAATCCTCATTTGTTTAAACTTTAATTTTATAAACACTATCAGTTAATAATGCATCATCATAATGATTGTTTTTCTTTTTTGCTAATAATTTCATTGGCCTGTCAAAATTGACAATAGGATAATGTTTTTTACTCACCCACTTTCTTTTCCTTTTTTATTTTATTTTTTTTATTTAGTGACAAAATTAAATCTTTGTCAAGATATGTGGTTAGAATGAAACAGAGTGCAGGAAAAAGCAAATTTATGCAAAGTGAAAAATAGAGCCTCAACTGGAACTTGAACCCAATTCATATTCCATGTTCTATGTCAGTAATTGTTTCACCACCCTGCATCTCTATCAAAATTTAATGCCTCTATCTTTTGTCATTATTTACTTAAATATTCCAGATGATGCTTACATTGATTTACTTAGAATAATTGACTTTTCACATCTGTGTCGGGTATTGGGCTTAAGACTTTGAGATAAGGCAATTTTTTAATTTTGTTTCTAATCGACTGGACCTGTTCTTTACCAGGTCCCTAGAAAAGGCGAGCATTTATTACCTGGTTTTGGTGGTATGCAAGCTGAAAAGATCTTCCGATTTACTGACTTTACAACTGGAGAATTCGACTCCACTGAGTCCCTGAATCTTGGGGACTCTGCATCCAATGTGTCCCATATTGAGCTGCAGGCTCCCATGGTTGAGAAACATCGCCGATGTGCTTCACTTGACTTGCGACAGACTGGGGTAAGAGTCTTGGTGCTACTACTGGTGTCTGTCTGCCCGGACCTTTCTCTCTTTTTATTCTTTTTTTTTTTTTTTTTTTTTTTTTTCTAAATTTTATTTATATATATATATATATATATATATATATATATATATATATATATAAAGCCCTCTATTTTTAGATGGTGCCATTATTACTACCACCAGTGCACAGTGGTGTTGGGACTCATGCCAAATAACAGCTTCTAACAATGAGCTTCCTGTAAATTCCTTATTTTGGAATATTTTATTCGTTTCCATTCCAATTTAGGTCATGCTTCCTTGCTTCCTGAAAATCTTTCCTCTTTCATAATCATTTTTCACTGTAGATATGTGGAAAATAATTTTTTTGCCTAATCTACAGTTTCTTAAATAGACAACAAAAGCAATCACACCACAATTGGCTAAATTTAATTTTCATTAAAAAATGTCAGTACTACTGCAAAATTAACTGCTGATAAAAAGAAAAAAAAATAGATTAGTTTTCCATTGTGTATCAGTAAAGGATGACTATATTTTTTTTTTTTTTACTAGGCTTGATTTAGTACGGTACAAGGCCAAATTCAGGTAGGAAAACTGTGACTAGCTTCTAAGTGAAGAAGGTATGTCTGCCTTGCCTTGAACTATCTAAATCTTGATTTAGCTGGACTCAAAGCCTCAAATTACTAGCACCAGTAGGAAATAGATAAATATTGTAATACGGAGCAACCATAACAAGAAGCAAGCTAAACATTAGTACTTTGTTGCCATAATATTTTATTTAGCTACCATGGCAGTATGTCATAAAAGCAGATAAAGGGACATTTTGTTCAACTGCCATAATTCATAACACAATTCTTAAATAGTTATTGGTTCTGACTGTTTAGACTTGAGTTACCAATTCTCTTCACAGTGACCAACCCAAATTGAATATCTTTAATATCCTCAAACTTGAAATCTGTTAGGCTTGATGATGTATGAAAATTTATCACTTTATTTTCATGTTGTTTTCAACTTGCTTCAAGAATCAAAACTTTTTGTGAGCAATTCAAATTAAACCCAAAAAATTCTATTCTAAAATTGCTATTTGAGCTGCAGTGCAATCATGAAGAGAAATTCATCTTATATCATCATCTCAATAAGTCATATTCCATAAAACAAACTATAGATTTTATTGGGAAGCAAGACCGTTTTTTTTTTTTTTTTTTTTTTTTTTTTTTTTTTTATGAATAAAACACATTTTAAAAAGTTAAATTTCATGAAGCCCTACATTTACCCTCTTCGTCCCACATTTGGGCAATCAGAAACAATTGACTGATTTCAATAGTGAAGTCATTTGCTTGATTTATTATTTCCCTCCACCTTGTATCAAACAGTGAACATTTTTAATTCAACCACTGCTTGCTTTATTATATGTTTATAATTCTCCTAGCATGTTAAGAGGTGTAACCAAAATTCCATTTCACTTTCTCCTGAAAGTTCTTAATGACAATTTTGTTGAATATTGAATGTTGGTGTCAGTTTGTTTAGCATAGTTGTTATTCTGTATAAAATGAATCTTGTTTTGTGTCTAATCCTCTCAAAACTGACAATTTGTCATATCACAAATAAAAAAAAATAACATAAAACAAATTGATAAAGAATTAAGTTCTTATTAGATTATCCACAAAATGAAAAACTAGAGTCAAAAAGTACTCATTTTTGTCTTTATTTTTACTATATATGTGATGTGAACATAGCAATCAACACTGCATAATGACTGTCAGTCTCATACTTCATGGTAATCTTCAGATTCAGTCACCTGATGACACTCACAATGCAGTGTTGTTCTCTACATTCATCCTGTATATTATCTGTGAATGATCTATCCCTGATATTGAACATCCTTCCCCTATAAATATAGGAAATTTTAATAACACACACACACACATACATACATATATATATATATATATATATATATATATATATATATATGTGTGTGTGTGTGTGTGTAGGTTCATTTGGATGAATTTTCTCATCTTTGTTTTTTATCACAGCATTTTGCCTGCTGTAACATCTGGCTTTTGTCAGAATATCAAACTTTGATCTGGTAAAATTAATTTACCTTTATCTTGAAGACCAGGAGTTCAAAATATGATCCAAGAGTGTGCATGCACACGCTCTATGAAGGGACATATAGATGGTATACGAAGACCATAGCAAAAACCCATTAGACCTTATAAATGTGACAAACACCCATGCATGTTCAGAGAGGGCAACTGCCAAAACCTTGTCATAAAAAATACAGACATGGAAATTATTCTCAATGAACCAAGATACAATAAAAAAATTTAATGTGATTTGCTTTTCGATTTGAATTTGGGAATGAAAATTTCTTGCTTTCAAAAACTTCAGCCATTTTGGGAATATGTTTTTGGCATACTTTTTAACAAAAAGTTAATTTTTGTCTAAACATTTTTTTTCCTATATGCTCTTCTTATACCAAAAAAAAAAAAAAAACTTATGTAAAGAGCATATAAAATTTAGTACTTTTGTTGGTTAAAAAGGGTGCTGAAAAGTTCCTAAGCTTGACCACTTCTTAAAAAAAAAAAAAATCGGTATTTTCTGTGTACAATCATCAGAATACTGATTTTTAAGCACTGGATTAAGCCATAAACTTTTCAGTATCCTCTTGTAATTGTAATTTTGCATGAATGTTGTTGTTAAGAGATTTATTGTTGTTAAGAAATTTCTGCAAAAATACAGGTAAGTTTGGTTCTTTTCTCTTATTTATTGGTGGTGGCAGCAGACAGCTTTATCTTGGATCTTCTGGATTCTGCTAATTCTCTAACCAATTACTGATAATTGGTTTATAACAGGATCAACTGAGTCACCAAAAGAACTATTGCAAATCAAAAATTATCTAACTTTAAAGTTTTTATTGTATGCAACATTATTGAGACTTGTACTAGATATAGTTTGTTATCATTGAAAGTATATTTCACTTGCTTTTTTGCATTTGGTTGTGTATATCACTTTCTATGGTAAATAGAAATAGTAAACTTATTGTTAATGCTTAATAACAGTTTAATAATGAAAAGATTTGTTCAAAGAAGATTGTGATTTACATATAAAGAAAAACTAGTAACTAAAGGATTTTTAAACAAATGGACAATTTTCACTGTGCGTTAAATTTATAAAAGCCAGCCTATCCACAAAAATAACATCCAAACCCCTATTATAATTTTTATCTGTGCTTTATTACTTCTTTAATGATATTTTCTTTATAGTAGTCTAAATTTTCAAGAGTTATGAATATATGTTGGGTAAATTATCTAAGAATATGTTAGGTTGCTGAAAGGTTCTCAGCCCTACCATCTTAACTAAAGTTTTAATTTTATAGTTATTATGTGATTTTCTTTTATCTTTACACAAACGAGAATAATTCAAATTCTCAGCTTTTTCTTATTTAAAGTATTATCCACACTGACTTAATTTACTAGAGAATTATCAAGTCTGCTACACATAGGAATTTAATTACTAGTTAGTATTAGTAACAATGCAAATGGGTTATTTAAGTAATTGGTAGTTTGGTGTGGGAGTTCTATTCAACATCTATCCCAAATGTTTTCCTACATTCCAACCATCTGGAGTAAAAGCAGATAAGTTTTGGTTAATGTATAAAAGATAAATGCATTGGCTGATGAGATGTCCAATCAGGAAGACATTAAAACAATAGTGATTGGGTCAGGATAGGAAAGGGAAAACAGTGGGGAGGTGTAGGAACAGAGAAAGAATCAGAAAGGTATCTTAGACAGATGCCCAAATAAGGACATTTTAGAATTAGGGTTAATGAAATTAGAAAATGGAAAAAAAAAACAGACTTCAAAACTGGAAAAGAAAGTTTCTTGTGATTCATTTCCAATTTAGAATATTTCATGTTCATTATAAGATTTGTATGATCCCACACAAACATGACCATGTGTTAAAAGATAGAAACTGGAAGAATTAATGGCCCTTTGTTTAAAATTACAGTATAAGTGGGCCAATAATTCCTCAATGGCAGTCAGTGCTGTGTCAAGCCATTGGAAGCAGTTGTGGTGTTACAAGTCAAAATCAATGAGTATTTGCAGTGCATGAAAGAGTCAAAAATACTTTTCACTATTTGAAGAAAAATAATAAAAAATACCATTTTTGTTTTATAGAGTGGGATATCAAAAAAGAGAAAATCTTTTCTGAAAGACACAGGAATTAGTTTTTAGCAGCAAAATAAATTCTATGGAAACTCAAAATCCAACTCCACTCTCTCCTGAGATTTCTTGTCTGTTCTTATGTATTTCCAAGAACAAAACCAATAAATGGCAAAATACTGATATCATCTTTGGTAAAACCCATGAGAATATGAAAATATCTAGATCCTGCCATCAAGAACTTAAGAGTTATGTCACAATTCTATAAAGTAGTTGAAAATTAAATATTTTTGTTATAAATTTAAGTATTTTAATGGATTTATAATTAATGAAAAACTTGGCTCTCAACTCATTTGAATTCTTCAAAAAATACTAACTTTATTTTATTTCTGTTAATATTGATTGCAACCTTTCTAACTAAAACGAGGCCTCTCACTTGAAACTATTCAAGAGTATTCTATAATAAAACAATAAAAGTTATTGGATTTGTGTCGTAAAATTAACTTTTCTTTTCCTGTTTACTGATCTTTTACATCTAAATATTTAGATGTAAGATAATCATTTGACTCTATTTGGATGACATCGATATAAATAATGGATGATGCTTATAATCTATCTATAATAAGTCACATTTTGTTTCTTATTTATCTAAAATTATATTTAAACTCATGAATTAACTTTATTATAGGGTTTGCCTCCCATTGCACCACATGCAGATACAGGTAAGTCAGTTTTCCTCAATATTATAGCAATTTCTTTTAGCTTACAGTTTTAGTTCTCTTAACTTTTTGCATCAGTCAACTGACCAACCACTTGTTGATAAAATATTTATTTTCTAAAAGGTGAAAAATGTACTATGATTTAGGCAGTTGTGTGTGTGGCTATTTTAGCACAAATTTCATTGGAAAGATTAAAAGAAATGTAATTTCTTTTGATATTGAATAGAAGTAAATTTTTTAGCTTCTGTTCTCAATGGTTTACACTGATTACACTTGTAAAAGATCTCTTTAAGTTAAATTTTTACTATGGAACTGTTTCATTCTAAATCTAGAATACACAAGATTATTTTTTTAGTATATATATATATATATATATATATATAAGACATGCTAGTAATGAGACCTTTTGTCTTGATATCTGGTCACAAACTCCATTTCTTCTATTGATAACTGTGACACCACCACCAACTAAAAAAAATATTTTTATATTTTGTGCTTTTTCACAATTTTTTTTTTAATTTTAATTATTTTTCTATTTTAGATGTTGTTGATAATTCTGTTCTCTCAGCAGCAGCAGCAACAACAAAGGTAATTTTTTTTTTTTTTTGTCTAGAAACCTTGATTTGTTTAAAAGGAGATTCAAGGTTACATATCCAACTTTTATCATTGGTGGTTATCTTTATTTCACTAAATTTGCTTTTAAAAGAGAAAAATTTAAGTTTTCCAAATTTATTTCTCTTGACTATTTGTTTGCTCATTGGAGAACTACATGAAAAATGATTTTAACTGCTGCAAATTAATGAATATGCATTTATAAACTTCATATTTGACTAATTATAAGATTAAAATTGGTTATTGTATCTTGACTGTTTTTGATTTCTTGTAGGTGCTTCCAGAAGATACAAAATCTGAAGATGACGAAAATAGTAATGATCGTCAGAAATCTTTGTATTACGGCAGGTATGTCCTTCTTTTATCAATTCTTGCCAGAATTGACCAGTTCATAAAATCAATTTGTATAATGAAGTGGTTTGTATGACATATTATCATGAAATGATTCAGTTTTATTAAGATGACTTTATTTCATGGTACAGTCGAGTGTATGTTCTAGAAGTAAAAGATTTGCCATTTCAGCTGATGTTGCAGTTCCAAATGTTGCAGTGCCAATTAGTAATAACATGTACACTTTAAAACTTTGTCTATAAACAGTTTAAAACTGATTAAAGATTCATCAGGCCTAAATAATAAATGATGCCCATAAAGTTAATACCATAGACAAAAAAAATGTGAATTTTGATGCGAAAACAATTTTTGAAATTTTAAGGAATTACATTTTGATAAAGTAGGTTGCATTTAATGTAGAACTATATTCCAATTTCTTCCTGATAAATTACTTTTGTTGATAAGAAATAAAGAAAGTAATGTTATATTTAATTGAACAATTTGATGATTGTAAGAATTTAGCTTTAGTTTACTTCATGCCACTTGTTGTCAATGTAGTGGGTCACTGATCAAAAATATATTTTGATATAGAATTTTGTATCATACTTGACTGATTTGTCAAAAATGTTATTTTTATTCCAAATAGTAACCATATTGACAATAAGGATTTTTTTTCCTCTTAATCAAAGCCACCCTGGGTATGACGATAAACTACATCTGTGTCCTGGGTAAGACAATAAACTACGTTCAGCAGCAAGGCCTCTGATCAAGAGGTTTTAAGGAGCATAGAACCACCTCTTGCTGATGTTCCCAGGTCCGCCCTGACATGGGGTGGTAGAACCTGTTAGGGTCCCAGCTATGGGCAAATGATTAATCCCTAAACTGGGGTAAAAACACTATGAAAGTATAAAAATAGGTTTTAATACCAGAAATACTTTGTAAAATAATTATTACCAACAATGTTTTCAAAAAATAAATATTACCAGCTATACATTTTTGAAGGAAAATTATTACCAGAAATAGATTTTTGACAAAACAAAATATTACCAGCAATAAAAATTTTGTTGGTATTAAATGACCCATTGAGGTTGATATGCTGTAAACCAAAAAAATCAAAGAACTGAGTGACACATTTGGATTATTTGGTATCACACAGACCAAAAGAAAGCAGATGCTAACCCAAATAAGCTAATAAAACTACTTAATGAAACAAACAATTTTTGTGTTATTAAGTAAAAACATTTTTTTTTTTTTTTTTTTTAATGACTTGTCACATCAACTTTGAACAATGTATTTATCATTATCTGTTGCCATCTTTCAAGCAGTTAAAAAGTTCTGAGAATCTGGAATTATCTTTTTCAGATTTGGTATTTACAGTTTACAGTATGAACAAGTGTCAAAATTTCCTTCCATTTAAACTGCTGATATCTTGTTTATTTTCAAGACTATTTTGATGAAATTAATATGTAAACAAAATTTAATCTTTTCTCTTTCTCAAGATACAATTATTTCTCAAGTGTAATGAGTAGGTTTTATTTCACATATCTTTAAATTATGTTACTATTTCAGTGACAAACAGCAATATTTCTGTATTTTCAAAGATGATGATTTTGTATGGATGTTTTTCAAATTAGTGGCACTTAGAATTGTGACAAAAACTTGCCACAGTAACTCACTAAATCTCCATTCTTGATTACAAATGAAAATAACAAATTTGAAAATTTTCTAAAAATCCAGTATTTGTCTTGTTTCAAAATAAATTAGTAAAAGGAATAACTGACTGGATTTTGTAAAAATAATACTTTTTGCTTAAAACGTAGGGAAAATAATGTTTATTTACAGACAGTAAAATATGAGTTGTCATAGCCACAGTAGCTTTCTAATGCTCAAAAAGGGTATGAAATTTTACATTGTTCAATTCTTAAAACATTTCTTCATTTGATAGAATTAGAAAGAAAAATTACAAGTACATTTTTAAAAAGAAATTCAATGTAGATTGTTTTGTGTGTCAAATGTGAAAGAAAATATTCTGAATTATGCAAGTATCAACACTTGACAAAAAAATTTTTTTTTTTTTAAAGTTATTTTTTGGTAAGTTTCATGACAAATTTTTAATTTTTGTTTTTTTAATTAAGAAAAAGACCCTGAAGATGTTACTTGATCTTCAGGGTCTTTTTCTTTTATGTAAATATAAAAGAAATATTCTCAAAATTTAAATGTGTTTTTGAAAATTATTTGAAAATCAGGGTGGAACTGACAATAAAAAAAGAAAAATGACATGCATCACTTCACAATTGCTCAACTTCAAACTTACTCAACTGCAACCTGACCACAGCTTGACTGGAAACAAAATCATCATCTGAGTGGTAATCCATTCTTGTCATTTCAAGAATGCATTTGAAACCTCTGCAACAAAGACACAAGCAACAAGATGTACTTATGAAACTTCATGTACAGGAAAGGATTGCTAAAAATGAGGGGCAAAAAAAAAGGAAAAGGCTTAGTGCTAAACTGATGCTGAGAAAAACAAAGGAAAGAAGAAAAAGTCACTTAGTGTTTCTGAGTTTTTAAACAATAACAGTTGTGATGAAGAACTACCACAGGTGACCTTCACTTATGAGCCCCAAGGCCAATGGGTGGCAGTATATTATGACTCCAACTTTTATATTGGCCAAGTCATTGACATTGTATCTCCATTGAATGCTATAATAAAGGTTTTAACTCCAACAAAGAGCAGAAATGATTATTTTCAATAGCCTGTCAGATGAATTTTACTTGGTTTATTCCAAGTTCAAATCTTTCTAGAGCCTTCTCGAAACTCATTTTATAACTTATAATTATTATTTTTGATCCTTTCTTTCTTTATCTATCAACCAACTAACCATTACAACTCTGCAGGTGTACATGTCCACTGGCAATACTCTTTCTCAATATTCATCGAGTGACAGAGCTTTGTTTTCAAAAGGAAAAATACATTTCTAAAAATAACCTATTACTAAGGAAATGATATGTCATTAAGCTTTTGATATGGATCAGGAATGACTGGATGTCAGTCATTTTGTCCTAATTGAAATAGTTGTTTTATCAGCAAATTTTAAGGAAGTGTTTTAAAAACGTTCGTTTTCCAATCACAATGGTCCCCCAGGGGCAAGGCATGGATCTTTTATGTTGATAGAGGAACTTTCATGGATAATGAGTGACAAAAAAAGAATTTCTCGGATTTACTCACGCAGATATTCGTGATGTGTGTGTGTGACAGTGAGATTGAAAGTGATTCCAATCAAGAAGGAAGAATTTTCAAACCATCACAAACATATGATCACCCATGGCTACCAGAGTTTTTCCATACTTCTGGACCTACAGATGTTAATCAAGAAGCTAGTGAGATAGACGTTTTTCATCTTTTTTTTTTATCTGACAGTTATTCAATTAATGGTAGTGGAAAATGACCAAATATGTAAACGATGTGAAAACAAAATTAGGTGACGCAGCAAAACCCAACTCACAAATCGTTTGCTTTGAAGAAATGAAAGCATTTTTGGCCTTGCTTTTGTTGATAGGTTTGACAAAGTGACCTTTGTATTTGTCTTATTGGGCAACAGACCCCCTTTTTATATATGCAAGGCTTTCACAATGTGATGAGTAGGAATCATTTTTTTATTAATTCTGTCGTATTTTTTTTAGTTTTCATGATTTCTTTTTTTCTTAAAATTTATTATATGTACAGTAAAAAAAAAAAAAAAAATGTTTACATGTCTAAAACACACCATTCAAAAACTTACCACACTCAAAATTAATATGTATCCAGGGGATACAACTCTGCAAGTTACTGCGGAGTTGTAATGGTTAATAAGTTTTCACACGGTTTAATTGTTATTATTTCTTGCTTTAAATTGTCATTATACATTTTCATGCAGTAAAATGTCGAACCAGGATTTACCAATCTGTTATATGACTAATAGTTAAGCTGATACCAAGGATTTTACTTAGTTTGGATATTTTAGTTTATCACTTGTGTCACATTTTTTTTTTTTATTCAACTGTAAACTCTTTATATTTTATCATTATCAACCTCAGCTTGTCTACCTGAGAATTGTTAAATAAGAAATCTCTACATTTGCAAATCAGTTTTCATGTTTTAATATCTGAAGTAATCTACTTCATAAACAGCACAAATCATTCTTTGTGTTTGAGCTGCATTTTTACCTTTTCTTAAAATAAAAAATACATATGTCAAAAAAAATGTATATTTTCTTTCATTTTTCTGTTAGAATCACTAAACAAAAATGTCAGTTTTAATGATTTTTTGTTTTTAATGCATTCTGCTTTGACAGCTGTTACAATCAAAAACATTTCTTTTAAGTAAAACTTTAAACACTCTTAATGCCATCTATTAGCAAAAATGGTCAAAGTTTTTGGCCAATCAATCTATCATTTCAAAAATTCAAACTAGAAAGTATGTCTCTTTACTAATTGCATTGCCAGTTAAAAACCGAACAATCAAGACACTGATCCCAGATGATGCCATAACAAAAAGTGCTTGTAATATTTCATAATCTTGCAAAATTGAAAAACTCTTTGGATATGCCCTCAAATTTAATCAAATGTTCCTTTGGCCCATAGCCCCTTTCTCTTTGGAGATATATGGAGGACTACATAATCTGTTAGAAGAGATAATGAGAAATGTTTGGCTACTTACAGGGTTGGAATAGGTGGGATTCAAGATAAATGCTCATCATCAAAAATTTGCTTAAGAGAAAAAAAATATTTAAACTGGAAGCTTTCTTGTGAATCTGAATATCAGTTGTATGTTTCTGTGCAAAATGCATTGATGTTGTTATTATTTGTATATAGAACTTAATTTTGTTTTATTTTTTTGTTCTCTGTTTACAGACAACCAAGCCGTGATAAACGGGAGTTGCAGTTGGCCATCAACACTCACAAAGAGAGGAACGGGATGCTGGAACGTGTCAACAGTGAATTGAACCAGGAACTCCAGGAGGTCATGGAGCAGCGGATTGCTCTGGAGATCCAGCTGGAGCACCTGAGGCCCTACCACAGCTGACTAGTGTCAACCTACTGAACTGCGTAATTATAAAAGAGGAAGAAAAAAAAAATGTGAAATAAGAGAAAGAATGACCTTTGACACCTGAACATGAAAAGGAAAAAAAGAAAATATGATGATGCAGCAATCCAGTTCAAGAGTGTGAGGTTTTCAGAGTGAGTAGATGCGAGGAGAATAATTGCTATAGGTATTGCCTACACATATAGCCATAGAAACTAAATTTTTAAAAAATTCTTTCTTCTCCTTTCCAAAGAAGATATACTCCTCTGTCAAGCCTCCAGTTGAACTTCAGGAATCCGATGATCTACAACTGGCTGAAATTTAAAAAAAAAAAAACTATATAATTGAAATGAAGATAAAAGGGAAGAGAAAAAAATAATTTTGTTTTTCTTAACAGGGGAAGAAAAAAAAAAAATGAAATCTACAGGTCAGCCTCTTGTGATGGACATGTTTGATAGCCCACTTGAGCACAATAGCCAAGACCTTACCTGAATGAAAAGGCAACCACCAGTCTCAACCTTTTTTCCTCCTCTTCCCTTCTTCTCCCCATTTTTGGAAGTAGCTGCCTTTCTTCTTTGTTCTCCCTTTTAATGTTCAAGACTGTTGGCGCACACGCACGTGCATATCAATTTATGCAGCAAATAAGCCACATGAATGTGCATTTGGTTTTAAAGAACGAAAAAATAAATAAAATGACCTACTGTAAGCCACAAAAGAATATATCTCCTTCCCTCCAGTTCCTATCTCCAAATATAATTTTACCCTTACTCCCCCCCCACTTATTTTTTTCCTTTTCCTCAAGGTGACTCCTTTATCTGCTAAAGTAACTGTCACCGCTAACCCTCATTACTATAATGACTACTACAACTACTATTGCTTTCATCTACTCTGTTGTATTGGACTCCCAAAATTTTAGTTTGTGGCTGCTTTTTGGTGATCTCTGTACATTGCTGGCATTTCCCTTGTTATTTTTCCCTTTGTTCCTTAAATTTAACCATTTTGTCAACATCTTGTGTGCTTGTGTCCAACTGCATGCATGTTTGCGTATGCTTGTGTGTACGCTTCTCTCTGGTAGCACATGTAAGTGGGTTTGTGTTTATACATATTGCTGTGAGTACATGTTTGTGGGTGCGTCAGTTTGTGTGTGTATGGATATTGTATACTTGTATGATTGAGGCATGCATGCATGCATGTATGTATGTATACATGTGAGTGTATGTGTATAGGCTCCATTGACATGAACTTTATATTGTCAAGAGGATAATGTATTTGCAAGACAGAGGTAGGGAAGTGACTGGGTGGGAATAACTTTTTTTTTTTCTTTTTTTTTGTTTGTACTTGAAGTCCCACAGATTTCTGTAGGGAGAGAAAAATCTAATCTATTTTTCTCTTTCTTTTCATTACTTCTGAGAGGTCCCAGTTTCTACTTTTACATTATGCCAGTATAGAACAGACAAAAAGAACAATCATATTTTGATGATAATAATAATGGTCCCATTTAATTCTCTTCCCCCCTATTGCCGCCATACTGTTCCATCTTTTGCATTCCCTGTTTTTTTTTTTTGTGTGTGTGTGTGTGTGTTATTTTATTACTTTTTTTTTCTACTGTTTGCCTCTAACCACCTCACCTTTTTTTGTTCATTTTCCCACCCCTCTCTAGCTGTTACTTTTACTTTTGAATATTTGACCCTTGGGATCATAAATTGTATGAATTTTGCCTGCTTAGTTGTCTTTTAAATGAATTGTTTAATTTCAATAACGAATGAAAGTCTGTTTCTAAACTGTCCATGTTCAAGTAAAAAGAAAACAAAAAAAAAAAAAAAAGAAACAAATCTCATTTAATCACATGATTCATTTTTTTTCTCTCTCTCTCTGTTGATACCTATTGATACCTAAACTTTTTACTTGCCATTTCTGCTATTCACTAAAGAAAACTTTTTTATTCCTGATTTCAACTTGGGCCTGTGTCTTCCATTTCATTTGGTCTTAGGTTTAAATGACTCTTCTCTAAAAAGCCAGTCCATTTTTGGATTCATGCATATAAACTTTTTAGTGTCCTTTGGTCACAAAACTACCTGGAATTTTCCTTCATAATTTCTGTTCTTTTTTACATGTATTCAATGTGACAAGTTATAATAGAAACAATGGTTGAGTTCCTCGGTGTGTGAGATGATGTATAAAATGGGAGCCATGTTTAATGCTATATAGGTGTGTATATTATTGTTTTCACTTTATTTATTTTACTCATATATATATATATATATATATATATATATATATATATATATATATATATATGGGATATTAGTACAGAGATCTAAGCAATTTTGTTGCTTGCTTTGATCTCTGTTAATTTTATTGACCTTTTTGACAACTTTGGTCCCTTCCAAGGATTTAAGGTTTTGATGGAAATTTGTTTATTCAGACTGTATATTAAGCATATTCTTCATCCCACCAGTTACAATGCATGTCTTATGTGCAAATATTTGAAATGCAAGAAGGCAATAGGCTAATTGCCCCTACAATTACTGTACATTAATTATCTTCTTGATAATGAAGAACTAAATAATATCCTTAATAAAGAGAATAAATATCCTATAATAATTAAGAATATATTAATAAAATATTCTTAATTAGGTAAATTATAAAAATGCTGCTTTACCTGTACTGTCTTTGCAGGTGCATTGCTTACATTTTCTGCATGACTAATCTAATTTAATCTATACAATTAACTGTTCGTGCATGTAAAAAGAATTTTGCTTTTTAAATCATTAAAAGCAAAATAAATAAATAAAATAGCAGTGTATTAGCAGCTTTATCTCTCCTACTTACTAATATACCGTTACTATGGTGATATGAAGCATATTTGCTTATTAGTGTTGGGTAATGCCTCTTGTTAGCATAGCAATGGAATATATTAAGAGGTAATCAGGCTGCATGAATAATATATAAAATCACATTGTGCTTTATATTCTAGATTCTTTCAGTATAATTATGAATGATAATTTCTACAGACATCATTTCACTAATTGTCTTCACAAAGTCTTTTTTTTTTTTTTTAAAGAAATGCTGCTTAGTCCAAGGTCAGTGAATTGTCAAAGCAAAGCTTTCAATCATTAATTTTTCAAGGTATGCCATGTTTAATTGTAAAACTTAAAATGATTGATTAGAGGAGAATTATTTGCTATAGACCCATACACAAGTTTATCTAATGATGGATGTATTTAACTACATAAGCAAAAAAAAACACACACACACAGTTTATTTAACTTGTAAAACAAGACATTAAACCATTTAAGTCTCAGCAAATGGTTTTGTGAATACAAGCATCAGTAGGTTTAATTGTAGCAAAAAAAAACAAGATTATTTTATAGCTATTTGGACTTCAAGTTTTGGCAGATAAATTCTTTGGCCACCTTCAGCTGTATGTTGCCTTGAAAAGAAATCAAAGAATGCATCAGTGAAAACATTGTAATTAAAACAACATAAAAAAGCAAGTATTTTCTTAATTCTGTATATTTTATTTTTAATTATTACTCTGAGAAAGCTTTATTTTATATTACATTCAGCCCATTAAAATTGTTGAAAACTCCCCAAATTTCAAGCTAATAAGTTTTATTTTATGTATCTCATGGTTTCCTTCTATGATTTTCATGACAAAATTGGCCACTACTTATTTGTGATTTACCTCCCTTGAAACCGTTTCCCGACTGGGAGTGATCTAAAACTGAAAGATTATTTGAAGCTCTCTATCCCCATCACCACCAAATGATGTTTTTTTTTTCTCTCTTCTCAAAAAGTTGTAGACTTTGGCCCTAAAAATGTGTACAGTTTGAATAATAATCTTTCCACAAAACCTCAGTTGCTGTGTTTGAACTTTCTCAATGATTCTTTTAGATTCTCAATCTGGTTTATCTTCAGGAAATATTTTCAAAAATTAAAGATAATTTATTCAAATGGCACACACATACATTAATATGTGAAGTGTTATTTTTTCTTCTTAACCCTATTTTGATTTAGAAATCTCAAAACTTTCATACACATATACACAGTGTGTTGTTTATAGGCAAAAAGCATTTTCTGATATGCATTTAATACAAAATTTCCAATATTTGTGCAGAGAGCTCAGACTTCACATATCAGTGTGTTATCTGAATAAAGTGATTAAAATATTTTTTCATCCTTTAAAATCTGATAGAAATGATGGCCTTAAATCTTAAATCAAAAGGTACCTTTTTACTTGCAACAAAACAAAGCTTTAAAAACAGATTAAAAAATGTTTGCTGACATCCATCAACTGGATAAGACAAAAATATGGTGAATTAAGATTATCAATTAACTAAAAGGAAAACAAAACCATCTTGTCTTATAATTGATCTCTTTACATGTTCTTGACTCTTCAAAAAAAAAATAATGCTATGGGTTAATTGCAATGAAAATCTTCAGTGCAGGAAATACTTTCAAATGTTAAATATTGTTCCAACAGTTATTTGGGCAAATAATCTTCTTTTTTATCTAAATATTTCACTCCAGGTGTCTGTTGTTTTTTTTTGTTTTTTTTTCTTTTGTAGTTTGGTTTGAAATCTAAACATCAGAGCTGTAAACAGGAGCAATCAATCAGAAAAATCTGGTCATATATATATATATATATATATATATATATATATATATATACACACACCACCTCCAATCAAACTATAGGTCTGAGGAAGGTCAAAGAACACATCAGATTGTAAATTTAAAAAAAAAAAAAAGGTAGAAATGAAGATACTTGTCCATATAACTGATGGAAGATCAGTCATCAGCAAGGGGAACTTATCTTAGCCAAAGTGTTTCATCCTCCAATGGACTTTATTGAGCCAAATGTAAGGATTTTATTTTGCAAAAAGTATAAACAAAAATAAAAATGTTGTTTTTTTTTTTTTTCAAATCTACATGCCAGCCTCTAGTGATGGACATGTTTGATAGCCAAGATCTTCCCTGAATGAAAAGACAACAAC